GAGACCATTTACAGGTCACACACCTTGGTTACGCTAGCAACGATCACACATGGGGAGAGAGGGGCCGACAGCGTCAGGGAAGGCAGTAGAGTGAACGGCGGATTTAGTTGTCTATTCCTAACCACACTGAAGTTTACTCTCACAGCTACTTGGAAAGACCAGCCAGTTTTTCCACCAGTAGGATGCTTTTTGCTCCTCATTTTAGAAATGCATTACTTAGAAACATGTTGCTAACAATTCCCCCATTTTTAGTCTTCACAACGCTTTTTAAAACAGCCTGCCACCATACCCTTGCTGCCAATTAATAAATAACTACTTGTGCCATTTCAGGAAAGATAGGATAAAAAAAAAAATCATGACTTCCATCTGCTTCTCCTAGACCTCAGTACAACCTAAAGAAGTATTAGCCGTTATTCTGCCCTGTTTTATGGAGGGGGAGTAGAATTCTAGAAGCTTTATCTAACAAACAGAGCAAGTGCCTCACGCGGGCTAATTCACATCACTCGGATAAAGTAGCTCGATATCAAATCTATTTCTGTCACAAAGCGTTTCAAAAGGAAGACATTTGCGATGGCGGCCAGAGGAGACATACAACACAGATGATAAAGCTTTTAAAACGCAGTGGGGGGGGATTCAACTGCGGGAAATGTTTATTTACAGTCAAGTGTCATTTCTAATTTTTTATTTAACTTGTGTAAAACTGCACAAAACTGCGCTTGAAACATGGAGAAACAAGGGGCTTCCTCGATTTCATGGCAATTAGCTTGTTAGTAGAGACCAAACCCAGTGCACTGCAATAATGAACAGTCATCAAGAAAGGGGAAATGAATACAGCAGTGAGACCAACAGGGGCATCATCCTATGGCCACTCCAGTTAAGGGGCTCGGCAGGACGGGAAGCAGAAGTCAGTCCACTCCATGGTTAAGAACCCCTAAAGCCATCTCCGTCCACGAAAGGCAGCATGAATGCGATGCCCTAATTAGACGCATGGCTATATGCAGAATCTTTCACAGCAGTGGCGAGAGGAAAATTTGAACATTTCTCCCGAGAGAGCACCTTAGCATATGCTTTTATGCAAAGTATCTTTCACACCATTATCCATCTTTGGTAGATATTAACTGAAGCAATTTAGGCTAACTACCTTCCACAACGTAAAAGGCGGTAACACTCTTGTCAAAGGAGGAAGTGTATGTTTAGTCCGAAGTCCAGCTGTTAATCACTAAACCATCTGAAGTCCATCTTTTGAATATTAGCAGTCCAACTGCATTAAACGCGGGAACTAGATACTGGAAACCCAGAGCAGTTGTGTTTAACAGATTCAGAATACAGTCTATGGTGAGACGGACTTGCAGCTCAAGGTCAATTTGTGACACGGGTGTTTATTTAGAGCGAGTACACGAAGCACAAGAAGAATCTAAAGGTTGTCCGTTTCCATGGAGAAGGAGATGTAGACTGGGTTTGGCTTGCAAATGGAAGAGCTGAATACCATGGTAAAGAACAGCTCTGGGAATGACAGGGGGACATTGAGTAAATGCCGCATCAACGCTGGTGTAGAAGCAGATTGTACCTGACAGGCAGCATGTCGACCCAATCGCCCCTTCTGTGTCTGTGCACCTGAGCCTCCCGTCAGAGACAGCTAGCGAAACAGACATAGCTAATCAATCAGTTCCTCACGCAGGATTCACAAATCCATCCGTTCCCCATTCCCACTGAAGGTGACGGCTACTGTTACGGCATCCATCTGCTCGAGGGACAAATTAGCAAGCGGCCTGCGATTATCTCACAACCTGAAAACAATATGAAAGTCTTGAAACCCAAAGCGTTTTGCATCGACTACAGCAGGAAATGCCATAAAGTATCAATTAAGGGAAGTGTAAGCAACACCACCTACCATGTATTACAAGGAGTCTTACAACATCAGATATCAACAAACAGAGGAACAGGAATGTTACAGGAATGCTATAGGCTGCCATCCACGGCGAGATGCTATTCCTTTCAGCGATTTGGTAAATAACATACAGTGTGTTGGTATATAGTAGAATTGAGAACAATCAGACTGACAATGGGTGTGTCAAACGGCACACTGCCTTACTGTGCCTGAATCTGAATGGCTGAAAGGAGTGTTCGCGTCAAACCTTACACAAAACTGAAAGCTACCAAATTCAAGCGGAAACCAAAGGTGGAGAAGACGACCAAAAGGATTTCCTGCACGCACACGAAACATAAGGCCAAAATGTCAACCACAGACATCTGCCATTTTAGAAACTTAAGTACGTAGGTGAGTCTGAAGGTACAAGAAGGTCATCCACAAATCAAGGATGTGAACGGACAAGTCGACTTCTCAGCTACAGGAGATGGTTTATTTATTCCTGTTACAGGGGAATTGTGTTTGATGGCAGCTATCTTTACAGAAAAAAAATCCAGTATCTCTCTTTTCACACTGGCAACATGTCAGGTCATACCTCAAAACTATTTTTATGCCTTTGTCTTATGAATTGCACAATAAAACTTCCTTCGTACATAGCAGAAGATCAATATCGTAAAATAATAATAATAATAATAAAACCTGATCTCTTTCAACAAGGCAGAACCGCAGGTATCTGCAGCGAATCAGCTCCCTGGCCACTCCGGCAGCAAAACGGTAAGACAATCACACCCGTTTGTTGACCTCAACAAGTCAAAATTTATTACAGTACTAGCACCTAAAAATGCTTTACAGTCCTTATTCCCGATAAGATGAACAGGAGAGTCCAGGAAAGCTGGGAGATCCAGAAGTAAAGGTGGCAGTATACTTCAAACAACATTCGGACAAAACCAAAATCAACCGTCAGTGAAAATAACCTATCACATACTCAAAAAAAGATGCCAGCACTTTTCTTGTCCTCTGTAGTGCCACAACCCTAGAGGGCGTGGAATGGTATCGATACAGCAGACCTACATGCCGAGCACTAATAAATGTATCATGGCGAGTCTGTCAGTCCTTCTAATAAAGGGGATGACAGCTCTTAAAATGGAGGTTGCTCTCTTTTTTTTACATTCACTATAGGTTTAATACTAGCAGTAGCTCAGACAGGGAAGCCAACAATTTACACGACACCCGTCACTGCAGGTTAACAAAGTGTGCATTCCACAACAAACACGGTTTACGACATTTACTATTAACAGGAATACACAAAAATACATATTAATCTACACCATTTAAAGTGTAGTGCAGTGCAAAGCCTGCCGGTAACTGCATAATTAGTTCTGCTGACCAACTCCATGGCATCACATTATTTTCAGCCAAATGAGGACAGTGGGTGGAATCAAAATTCTGCATGGGCGGTGCGTCAAAATGGTGATTACCACTGTGGTGATTACGGGTCATACGATGTTGTATCGCTAAAATGACATTGATTCCGTCAGTTTCAAGTATATGACCATCTTAATGTCGGAGGTTGATACTAGAGTTGCCACTAACGATTATTAATCTATCAACTATTTAACCGATTGGTCAATTAATCTTAATTTAAATGATTAAAATTAATTTAAACGGTCAGGGGATTTTCTGGAGGAAAACCATTTTGACAACTATGAAACCGTATGTCATCGCAGAGATTTAGATAATGGACGTTGGCTTTGCACTTTATGGACATTATTTCCACCCATAATTCGATAAGGAGATTAGCAGTATGCCTGAAATATTAATGAGATGCATATTGTGATCCACAAAAGTTGGTAACCTGTATAAATTCAGCGTATCATTATGCTTATTAAATTCAGTTAGTGGGGCACCATATGCTATTGCTTTGGTAAATCATGGAAGCAGTAAGTATTGAAGTTGCAGTGTAGAAAGGGACAGCTTAGCAACTACAACATCTTTTAAAAGAAGAGATATTGTGGTTAAACTAGGTAAAAAGATGTGGGTGGGGTGGCAGTACTTTTTACTGAATAAAGTCCAGCATATTTTTTTTTTCGTAACTATAATTTTCATTTTTATTTCAGTTAATGGATTTTTAAAATAGTTTCCGTTTCCATTAAAGTTTTATTTTATGGTAATAACACTGGTCCGAACAAGCCCAACATGCACAAACGTACACACTGGTATGGTCAATCATTGTAGAATAAGCCCAGATTTTAGCCGAAACATTTTCTCAAACACATATTCAATGGAGATTCTAGGGTAGCAGACAAACAACTTCACGGCTTTAAAAGCTTCTCTGTACTAATGGTAATGTAATAAATATGGATGGACAACACGGTGGTCTTGCCCACTCTGGCGGTCTATCATCCAGAAAACCCCCTGTGCGATTTCCCTTCAGCTGCTTGTGCACATAACTAGTGTCGCTGTGTTATACCATCGAAACTTTGCAGTGTAAAACCACCTTTTTGTTTAGTGATAATCTGAACTACTCCCATAATTTTATAGTGATATTATAGGAAAACATTTCTTATAATGAATTGAAACATTTTTAAATTTATGAAGGTAATTTCATGAAAATATTTTTTAAAATGTGTTGATTTAAAATACTGATAGACTCATTTTCAGCGATGACGTCATCGACTACGTCGACTAATCGCAGAAGCCCTAGATGATACTGATAACCTAAATGCCAAATGTTGGAAAACACAAGGAACGATAATTACAGAGGATGACTGAAAGATACTTGGTGAGGGTGACAGTGACACTAAATCCATCACAATGTATCAGAACAGACAGATACATCAACCATAACTCTGAAAAGAAAAGAACAGACCATATAAAGGTATGTGCCAAGTCACACACACACGCACACACACACACACACACACACATATACACACAGGTGAGAAAAAGGAGACAGTCTGGGAATCACTGGGCTATGTTCTCCACCTGTATCACTCACGAGAAGGGATAACAAGTGAGGACATGCCAGACGAGATGCCACCAAGGGTTCATCACAAGAACTTGGGGGGGGGGGTGTTCCATGTGAAGCAACTTTTTCCATTTGTTCAGAACAGAGCCAGGGGACAGAACTAACCTCATCTAGCTGGGAGATGTAGATGGGTTTCTCCTCGAAGCCGATGGGCATGGCTTCGGTGGGTGGGATCACCACCTCCTCAAACATCTTGGTGTTCTCCCGTTTGATGCCCTCAGGCAAGAGCATCTGCGAAAACAACAAATTAAATCACTTCAATAACAACTGCAAAACAGTACAGTGACACCTTGATGGGGAAACTGATACCGCAGCTTACAACAAAATATCAATTTACAGTGAACAACGCATATGGTTTAACGGTATCCTGCCATATTCCATAAGCTCTGATCCAGAGAACATACCGCGGATAAGACACCAGGGCAGGGAACATACCGCGGATAAGGCACCAGGGCAGGGAACATACCGCGGATAAGGCACCAGGGCAGGGAACATACCGCGGATAAGACACCAGGGCAGGGAACATACCGCGGATAAGGCACCAGGGCAGGGAACATACCGCGGATAAGGCAC